CACACTCACACTCACACTCACACTCACACTCACACACCAGGACCCGTTTTCGCAGAAGCCAATTAACCCGCCAGCATGATTTGGGACTGTGAACCGGGGGGGACATGCGAACTCCACACAGACGGCACCCTGGGAACTGAATGCTGAGCACTGCGCCACCAGGGTGCCCATCTCTCCACTCCCCCGGGCAGAATCCGCACACGGCTTTTAAAAACCGAGAGGCGAAGACGGAAATAAAACCGCTCAACGGAACTTTGCGACTCACGGCGCATGACGGGATTTTTCAATAACCTTTCACGGCACAGAAAAACAACCACAAAAACGCCTCGAGATGCATATTAACACATTTATTTCCTAGCTCGCTTCACCTCTGAAGCCACCAGGACGTCCCGAAGTTTTCTAAGGACTGGTTGACTTCCTGATTGGGGGTGGGAGCTCTCCAGCAGGATGAGCCACAGCCATGCGCGCGCGCCCCCTAGTGGCGACCAGGGACTCGTGGACGGGGGGCCAGACGGGGCGCCCCGCTCGGGTTCCGAGCTGGCGGCCCGGCCCGCGCGCAGTCGGAGGGAGGGGCAGACGGAGGGAGAGAGAGAGAGACGGACTGACCTCCATGACGGCCGGACTGTCCAGCCGGGCCGCGCAGTGCAGGGGCGTCTCCCCCTTGCGGTCGGCGATGTCCGCCCTGGCCTGGCACTCCAGCAGCAGCTCGAGCGCGCACCCCGCGTCGTCGCGGGAGCAGGCCAGGTGGAGCGGGGTGCGCCCTTCGACCCCGTCCCGACTGTTTATCTGACTGAGACACAGGAGGGGGGACAGAGAGGAGACGGGAGACGAGCAGAGGAGAAGAGGAAAGAGGGACGGGGAAAGAGGAGAACAAGAAGAATGAATAATAATTCCATACCCTCATAGAGCGCTTTGCTGGACACCCCTCTCACAGAGCTGGACAGGTCACGGGGATCCCCTCCACCCCCACCAGTGTGTACCCCCACCTGGATGATGCTCCAGTCCGCTCCCCACACACCAGCTCTCAGTGGGGAGGAGAGCAGAGTGATGGAGCCAGTTCAGAGAGGGGGGTTATTAGGAGGCCATGA